CGGACACAAGCATTCTGATCATTTACTTGTTCTAAGCATATTTTCTGTACTTTTAAGGTACATTCATAATAGAGACCATCACATCATTGCATTTTACCTATCAATTGATTATGGTACAATCTTATAGTCAGAGCGAGGTTCAGCGCCTCGTTATGAGCACCCACTTAGTTTTGATGGCCATTTTAACAATTTTTAGTTATGTTCAACTGCACACAAATTTAGTTGTTACATGTTTAATCTTTGGTTTTGCTTCTCAATTACTTACGCCATTTCAAGGATCAGATTTTGTGTCTTTGTAAATGATTTGTTATTGTGTAAAGTCAGCTTTATTGCCTGTACTAGAAGTTGATTTTTACATTCCAATGACTTGCTTCAAGCAAGTGTTGACCCAACCCACCAGCATCTATGGAGGTGGTTTAAATAAATGTTTCATCAAACCATTGGCTTATAGAATACAAACTGTTTCAAAGATAAATAATTATTTAAATCTTTTTTAGGTGTCTTGATTCCAATAAGCATAAGATTTTGTTAAGCGATTCAGATAAACTATACTAAATTAACAATTTTCACTTAAAAAATCTGGTAAATTTTATTGGAACCTAAACATTTTTTCAAATTGTTAATCTCAACACATGCTTAGTGATTACGAATGTTTCATTTGTCCCTGGGATCACATTGTTCTTTTTACACTGTCTCTCCATCTATCCCTATTTTGTTTAATAACTTCTTGACTTTATATAGATTTTTATTGACATATCTCTATAGACATTATATGTAAACTATAGGTTACTTTTTAAGTATTCTGTCACCTTGTCCATAACTAAACAAGTAATGAGCAAATCAATTCAAAAGCTAATGCTAACAATCTGAACTGGCTATCATATCAGCTACAAAATACTCCTGTCCGGAGATGACATTAAGGGTGTCTCTCTGCCTCTTGAAAAAAGCTTTGATTCAAACAAAATAAATACCAAGTGGGAAAGTATATCCAGTCGAGCATGTATAGAAAAATGTATATTGGTCTAGATGTGCTAATAGAGCTGAAGTTCTGTGGAGAACAAACAAGTTTAGAATCATAACAGATTTGCTGGTAGGGGACACCTACATACAATGATTTTGGAGACTGCTTCATGTAGACATAAACTGAAGACACTATTGACAGAGTCAACAATATTACTACGAGGCTGTAGATTGCATACAAACACTTTTTGGAGTGTGGATGAAGTGACTTCAAAAACATATGCTACCGATCCACTAGACCTGTTGCAGAAGACTGTGTTCCAGAATTCTGCAATGTTTATCATGAATAAATGGAAATATACAATAAACCAATTGGCAATTACAGTATAACTGTTTCTGACATACAGCTTCTGAAAAAAAAATCCAAAATCTGAATAGAATTCACAAAAAGAAATATTAGAACCTTTTGTTCTAAAAGATAAGATTTTATCATTATTACATTAAAATAAAATACCCCCGAGACATGTATTAATATTAAAAATATGAAAATCAGGTGACATTCCATTTATCTGTTGATAACATTGTTTTTATCACAAATGTGTACCTTGGATCATGACGTATCCCTATTCATATTTCATTGTTATTGAATATGATCAATGTTGAAGTTTTTGTTTTATTTTCGTAATTTTATTTAATTTGTTTGTCGATTAATTAAAAATTTATGAAAAAATCATTCAAAAATAAAGGACAATGCCGAGTTTTATATTTAAACAAGATTTTGTTACGTCAAGTATATTTTAACGTTTTATTGCTTTTTATGTAGCATTCTTGAGAAAATTTGATTGCTGTTAATAAATTCATAAATAGTTGGGTAAAAAAAATGTAAGGGTGTCTGACCCGGTTAATTGCTCTCAACATTGCACATAATTTTTAAATAATCTCCAAAATCCTTGATTCAAAACTAATTCACAGTAATTTTATAAAATCCTACGCCATTTTAAAATAAAAAAAAAATTGCTACAACTTAGAAGTTTTCAGTTGCATACTTTATCACCACAGAATGGCATTGAAATGTTATAATCATATTGTTACACATCGACAGCCTTCGACATTTTGGCAAAATATATTTCTTAATACTGCTGTGTATATATTTCTTTCTCGACAAACATCCAGCTCTGTTCTGTATTTCCCTTCATTATATTTACTTAACTCCCAAAAAAGTGGAGGTTTCATTAAATGTCCAAGTTATTTACCTTAAATCTCTCACCCCAACCCTTCCATCTAAGAAAAGATTATTTATATAATATCTATTGGACCCTCTCATACCTGCATGTAAAAATTAGATCCTTTATTTACTCAATAACCTAAGTGCTAATTTGTGCACAAGTAATTTAGGTTAAAGTTCCTTCTATGGTTATGAAGAAACAATTTGAGCCATACCCCTGTATTTTTTACCGTTCTATTGTTACTGAAAGGCTGCTAAACATTTGATCATCAAAAAACACTTTATTGCTTTGAATATACAAACTAGAAGGCCATAAAAAAGATTCTTAATTATATCGGGTTCTTTGTAGTAATATACATTCTCAAGTCCGCAGTCGGACGATTATCTCGACGCTCTTCACTCATTATATCCGTTTTAGGACGGTTCTGATAAATGCTTTATTCTTTGATAAAGCCTTGATCATATTAATGTTTTTCATTGTTGCTTTTTTAAATGAATTTATTCGCTGTAAGTTTCTTTAGTATCTGATTTGTAAATTTTTGGTCTTTTTTTTGTAGATTTTCTAAAGCGCTTTTTTAAAGCCTCTTCAATACTCCGAAACAGATGCGAGAGGCACGTTCGCTGGAAACTATTAACCTAAAATTCTAAAGTCATACCTCGTTTCTATCGAAATAGTTCAGAGATTAAAAAAAAAATCGTGAAATTACATCACAAAAATACATTTTTCAAGAAGGCCAGAAAATCTACATTCTGTGTAGGGAGCACATACAACATCCTGCCCTTCGTATTACTTTACTTTTGTAGTATGCGCAGTTGGATGCCCTGCTTTTTTACATGCACGGCGCGAATTGTACACTTTGTAAAAACTAGAAATGACTTCCATTATATCATCCATGATTTCATTCCTTATGGAATGAATATCCCATAATCATAATGCAAAATTAACGGGAATTATTTTAGTAGAAGTAAACTCGACCTGTAAACCACAACAACAAAATTTTTGAAAGTTATTCTTAGTTTTAACGAGTAATACTAAAAGAGGTACCATGTACATGCGCCTTTTTGGTAGTTTGTTGATTTGTTCTTCTACTGTTGCTCATGCAATAAAACCATTCAGGTTCTACAAATAGCATAGTTTTTGGCTTTTTTGATTGATCTGGCATTATTGCTTTTTATTCTGATATCATCATGGGCGTACAAGGCATATAATAAAAAATAGTTTTGTCAGTTTTCCGAAGAATTTTACCACTTCGAATATGATCAGTTGCTTGACTATTGGATATTCTTTGGCAATATCTTCTGATATACGTTATAAAATCGAGTTGAGTTTTTGTCATATATAATTGTTTTATTGGTTTTATGTATTTTTAGGTTAGGTTATTGTTTCCATTTTTTAGCTTTAGTTTAGTTGAAAAAATGTTAACGAAAAAAAAATTATTTAGTGGTTGATTTCTATTTTATCCTCTTCAAAGTAATCAACCATAATAATTATGCAAATAGCATAATACACTTGTGCTAGTGCCTTTTACAATTCTCGAGGCACATATGCACTATTTGGTGTAGTGTTAAACTCTTCCAGTGATATGATCTTTATCTCCTCAATCGTGGTAAACCTTCACCGTTTCATGTTTGTTTTTAAATTTCAAACAGTAAAAAGTCGTAGGGGGCCAACGTAGCCAAATGTGGATGCTGTCTGCTAAGACCATAAAAACGGTGCTGTTTTTGTACAAAAAACACGAATATGCCATTATTCCTTACTGACTGTAGGAGCTTTTAACAAGAACACATCATATACCCCGCTATTTTAACAGAAGAAAGGTGCCCAACGTTCTCTGTGGTTTTTCTTTTTTCGGTATTTTTGAACAAATTCTGATATGATATATATGATAAACAATATTATATAGATATATATATAAATATTATATATATATAATAGAATACTCACGTATTTCGACGATTCTTCGTAAACATTTGCTTCACTTCAATATTTTTCTCACTTTGTTGACGTTCTGGGGCGTCCAAGGCAGGCATCGTCATTAACGTCTTGGCGGCGTTCTGTGAAGAACATGTACTACTTCCAAGTAGACACAGTTTAAATTTATTTTTCACACAAAAGTTACTACAAATTCTTCAAGCCATTTTTTATAGCACAATCTCGCCATGTACACTACAACTCGTCTAAACTTTATATCTGTCAAATACAAACTAAAAATGAAAAATTGCATGGTGGCGGCTCAGTTAAATTTAAAACTTTCTATATATCTAGCCACTAAGCTACGTCCGCCATTGAGAACGTATGTACAAAGATAAGAAAAAAAAGTCGAACAATGTATATCCCGTGAAGTTTGAAGTCATATTTTTTTTAAACAAACCTCTTATTCGAGCGGTTTCTTAAATGATTAAACCTCTTAATTAATTTTGTTTCTTGTTTGTCATATATGTTTTGAGGCTAAGCAAAACTCGATAAACTTTTGCGCGAGTTCGAACCAAATATCCAACCAGTTTTTCTGATTCAGTAACTCAAACAATGGTGTAAACGTTGTAGCTATGGAAACGCACCTATGTGCATATTATTTTTATTAAAAGAGAATAAAATATTTATTTAGTGCCAAAGTTTTGATTGCTCTGGATCTCGACATAAGTAGGGATATTTTGTCTTCGCCGTTTGGTTTTCATCAATTTTCTAAACATTTCTGTTAATAAGTATCACATCACAATATCACATTGTATCACCAATCAGAATTAATGTTTGTTCTATGTTCTAATGTCATGGTGACAACATGACACTATGACATGGCTGTCGGTCGTCTGGAGTGACTGTCATCTAGTTTCGCGTTAAATGTACATGTTTATTCGGTTTTCTAGTGTTGTCTGTCGTCCGAAATGATTCATATAGTTTAGCGTTAAATGTACATGTGTATTCCGGTTTTCTAGTGTCTTTATAGCCTTGCTACCACTCGACGCGAACTACTTTTTACCCTACGCGAATTGCGTTGCACTGCAAAAGTTGACTACGTGCAATATTAAACTACATACAATATTAAACTACATACGCAAAACTAATGGCCAATCTCACTGTAAGTCACATTCAATATTTTATTATAGGTATAACGTATTTTAAGTCACTCAAAAATAAAAATAGGATTCCTGTGACAAAAGATTTTTTTGGTGTCTTTAATCAGCTTCTGTTAAATTCAGTCTTAATTTTAGTTAATTAGAACTTATTGCATTTTCTCGTCGTTTGTCGTTTTGTCTTTGTGTTTTGTTTTTGTGTTTATAGCTTACATCTATGTGTTATCAAACAAGCTTAAGCGCTTGATTTCTTAAACCATTTACTCACTGCACCGCTTATGGTCGCTCGCGGACATTTTTCGGTCCTTGCTAAAATATATCGCAATTTTTTGTGATCACTGTTCAGTAGGTATGTTACATCTTTCGAAGTATGAACTATAATGGAATCCAGTTTCCTAGTTTCGGGATGATTGAGGCTGCGGTATTCCTCCATTGTTTGCTTTATTTGTTGTTTCTGATCTGTTCTTGTCCCATGAGAAGTAGATTACTCCTGACATAACTTAGCCTCCGGGAGAAACCCTATGAAATCTGGGTGTCCCCAGATACCTTGAATGCCTTACTCGGTCGTGTTTAACTCAGAATTAGCGACTATGACTGAGATGAAGACCTCTTGATCACAAGGTTGCACGGGAATTCTGAAGAGATATTTCAGTTTGCTCTTAGCTATTTTGTTTAATTGTGGCGTTCCATTGGAGACCTTTCAAAGGTAGACGACCATCGGTTAATAAAGGTTAAGCAGATTTCGTTTGGAGGAATGCTGTGTGTTAATTTTATGTAAATGATTGATACAAGTAAGGCGTTCTAGGGACCAAAGCAAGTACCAAGGTAAAACGACGTTACCATTTTGAAATTATGTACTCGTGTTGACTCTTCACTTGATTTTCATCTGTAAAAATATTCCTGTAGATGTCTCATTGTTACTTCATAAAACATAATATATTTAGCCGTCATTAATCTTCGTAACACTTTAATACCCTTCAGTGAAATATAATTGTAAGTTTAATTTTCTTTTTGAGACTTTTTAATTCGTGAGATTTGATAAACCAGTATTAGAAATTAATTATTTTCTATTTCAATATGGACATCATTAATATTACTCAATTTATTTACTATTATTTTTTCTATTTTATGAGTTTTCTCGTTAAGATTATTGAAACTACTTTATGTTCAGAAACGAATGCTTGTAATTCATTTTTAAAGAACGGCGTACTCAGTGAAATTAGTTTCAAAATGTCTTTCATTTGGCGCCGAAGTGATTACTGTTCATAGATTTGAATATAGCGCTACTCCTATCATAGGACACATCAATTACTAATCGATATATGTAAACACCTCTAAACTACTGAACAGTCCCAATAAAGTTTCATACACAGTTTTTATCACAACAATTTATATCACATTAATCATTATTTAATGCAATAAAACTGAATTTGACGATTATTTTTTCTCATTTATAATTTTTTCAAATTTATTATAATTTTACGGTCCTGGCACAATGATCCTATATCCAGGGTTGGTAACACTGGAGTACTGTGCATCAGAAGGCATGAAGGACACTCTTGTATCTCTTTAACACTACATTTTTCGTCTTTAAAAAGACTTACCAAAAAGTTCCAAAAACAGACTGAAAAATTGTCTCGCAAGTCAGTATCAACGACTGTTGAACTTCCATTTATTGGTGTTTTACTGTTTAGAAATATTCCGTGGGAAGAATGTGTATAAAAGTCTAAGAACGTTTGTAGACGTCTATTTTTGTCAATGGACGTAGATCCGTTTTTTTACGCATTCCATTTTCAGTGTTACGTAGTTTTTAATGAAGATGTGTAGACCATACCGGAGACCGGCCCAATAACCTGTGAATACACATTCATTGTCCTATAGCTCAACGGATACCGACCCGTTGTACAAAATCTGGTGTCTCCTGCCAGTGTATTCAGGTGTGTAAATGTTACCAGACGTTCTTCCGTTCATATAATCTCTCATAAAAACCGCAGAAGCCGCCGCATCGATCGGATTCAACATAATGACCAAATAAACTCAACGTAGTCATGTGCGTATATGTTGCGCAGGGAGGATAAGCTACCATTCCCATCATAGAGCTGCGGTGAGGTCCAAGCAGATAACGGAGGAATACCGCCACAAGCACCAGCTGTCCTAGGAGGGTAGTCCTCAAGATTTCCTGTTTGCGCCACCCAGAATCGATTATCTATATAAACAGTTCCCATGTATGCCTATAAATTGGATATGATTAAGTTTTTTATATAGCCCATGTCTTCACTCGTCTGCCCAATTCCATCTTAGCGACGCCAATTTTTCCGATGGCGTCTGTTGTTTTTGTCCTACGACGTATTTCATCGATTGAGATCCGGTCTCTCAGAGAAACACATAACATCTGGCTCTTCATAACTCTTGTGAGTCACGCGATTCTTATTCACTATCTTTTTTGTTAGTATTAATGTTTCCGCTCCATAAGTTAGTACAAGTAACACACATTGGTCAAATATTTCCTTTGGAGGCATATAGGTAGGTCCGATTTAAATACATAGTTTCATTTACCAAACGTTGCCCATGCTGATCCTATGCGACGTGGGATCTCACCTTTCTGGTTATTTCTGCTCAACCGAATTTGATGTTCAACAGCCATATTTTCGACTCTGGCACCAGATTAGTTATTATTTGCATCTTGTTCATATTAATCTTTAGTCCTACTTCCAAGAAAGTGTGATATAATTTTTCAAACATTATTATTACATCATCCATACGATCGACTAAAAGCACGATGTCATCTGCAACTCTCAAATGACTGAGCTTCTCATAAATGTGTCGAAATGCCATACTCTAAATAAATTATACACGAAACTCTAAAGCAATGTCAGCGCCAACCTGGTAATATTTATACAATGATGTCCTTTTATTGATCTTTGTTCTCGTTTAAACAAAGTTATATTTTTTTGTTGTTTTGACGTAATTAGCATTAAATGTTTCTGTACTTTTCGTTATCTAATGTTTGAGTAGAACTTACCCGAAAGGGCTATAACAACAGTTTAAGCAGACAGTTAGCCTGAGCATATCTGAAAAAAACAACAAATCTGAGTTATCTAAAACACCTATCAGATGTATTAAAATATGAATATAACACGAATTGACTTTAGGAACATCACTAATTAAACCAACACTGGAGACAACTGAAATGAGGTTTCTATACAAAATAACCGGAAAATTGGATAGAGAAATAAGAATCTTCAATAAAAATTATTGTTTTCCAGCAACACTCGTCTCCCAATCGTGATTTATGTAGTTTATCATTACAATTTTGTTTGTATTTCAATGTTTTGTATTTCCTTTTAATATTATATGTATTTCTCATCTTCTATGTATATTTAAATTATTTAATAACATTATGGAAACGAATTCAAGTGCAACTCCGAAAATTCGAGATTTGTGAATGGACAACACTGGCAATACTGTATTGCGTCATAGTTTCGCTAATCTGATGCCGTCACTCCATAGATTACTCGTCGTTGATTGACTAGCAAATCTCTGAAGCGATACAGTATTGCCAGTGTTGGCATTCCCAAATCTTGAATTTTTGGAGTTTCGCTTGAATCCGTTACCAGTTTTATTAAATAATTATCTAAACAAACATATATTTTCTCTTTGCTTCTGTCTTATTCCATTGCGTGAACCATAGGTTCCGTAAGTTGTCGATCTATTCTATCTTATTCAATGTTTTTATAATATCCAGCGGGATAAGTCTTACTCTGTCAGTTGCCTTCCTCTGTCGATCAAATAGAAATGGTGATCTATTGTATTTATTTGCTTTCTCTATAATCTGTTTTATGACGAATATTGCATCTGTAAACGATCTTCCCGTACGGAAAACTTGTTGCTCATCTGTTAAGTTTGTGAGCTGATTTATTCGTTCTTACAAAACTTTAGTTGAAGTTTATTGTGTCTTAGAACTGTTAATGTTGTTAGCTCCACTATGCATAAGAAGCTCTAAGGGAAAAAAACCTGTAATAACTATAATAGAAAGGAATGTCCGTGGTAGACCCGTAAATTAGAAACTGTGGTGAAGAGAAGAAGAAAGCTTACGACAAATGGATAGATAGCTACTGAAACTGACGAGGATAGAACTACATAAATGACAAAGATTAGTAACAAGTGAAGTAAAGAATGAAAAACTATATATTGCGGAAAAACATGTGAAGTAAGAATAACAAGAGCGACTAGAGCCTGGAAAGTTATTAGAGGATAATGAGCACAGAATAAAGACACTGCAGGACAACATCTTATCTTATTGGCATTTAAGATGCAAAGATGAAAAGAATATCATAAGCTCCTAAAGGAAGATAGAATCAAATGCCAGAAGACTCTTACAAAGAAATCTTTATCAAGAAGCAATAATACTGCAGCAGAAGTACGAGAAAGTGCGATGCAACTAAATAATGGGAGGAATACTCAAAGCAGCCACGGATAAATTAATGGAGATACTTACAATAATTATCTTTAATAAGTGCCCTAAAGCAGACTAGCTGCCATTGCCAAAGAATGTAATCGAGCCGTCATATTTTTCAGTAATAGAAAAAGCAGGAAAGACTGCAAAACATTACAGGAGCATTAGTGTAATGTGTTCTGTAAGGCTCTATGTCCAGTTCTTTAGTAAAACAACGAATTCGAGAACAATATAAAGATCAAAATGGTTTCCGAGCTGGTCGCCCTTGTATATACTAGGTATTCACTATTAAACAGCTTATAGAGGAACACATAGAAATAAGATCAACTGTCCACTTAACCTTTTGTTTACCTGGAGGAAGCTTACGATATGCTACCATTAAATATGTTTCGGATTTCCTATATTGTTTCATAATTTGTATACTTATGTTCTCATAGGATTCGTTTTCACAATAATTTCTGAATTATTTTTGCGGAACATTATAAGAGATTTTGGATTCTTAAAACTAGGTGCATACACATCGAATTTGGACGGTCGATTAAAGATGTTGGATGATACGTTGCACACTAACTACAACACAACCTTTAATCGATGATGTTTGTTAATCCACAAAGGTTTGTTGAGAACTACATAGCAACACGGAACTACGTACGTTGAGCCGTGTAAGAAACGCAACTGGTCTTCTAGTCGGCCGACAAAGATCGATGTGTGCACACGCTTTCATTTGGTACCGGTCGCCTTGGAAGGACGGCAACGATCAGGGTAGCTGTCCATGCAGTGAGAGTGATCGAACGCCACGCGTTTGGCGATTGATACGTATGCACGCTCACATTGTTTCCGATCGAACTTTTATTGATCTATTTATTCTGTGCGCCTAGCGTTAGGGCCTAACCAGACTAATGCTCTGTTCTCGACACGCCCTCGCTTCAGTAAATTAGTGGTATGTATAGTATAATATTAATTGAAAAGGCCAACGAATATCAAATCCCAATGTATATGGCATTTGTAGTCTTGAAAAAGCATTCGACAAGGTAGAACATTGGGCAGTAAAGAACTCTTTACAAAATGGGAGGATAGACTATAGATATACGGACTTAATTTCCAATATATATGATCAAGCAACAACATCTATCAAAATAGTTGAACAAACGGAGCTTATTAAGATATGGCGAGGAGTTAAGACAGGGCGGCCCTATATCACCCAAACTATTCAATCAAGCTTTGGAAGACGTTATGAGACAATCGAAAACGGGTTAACAATGCAATTGTTGGTGGAATTCACACAACTGAGGATTACTTCTTAAAATTTTGAATAGCGCTTTTAAAATAAACTTTTCTCCTGACTAACGGACAATTATTGAGGGGAAATCTCAAAAGCCAGGAGATTATATTGAACGATAGTGGAGTGATAGGGTTGTTGCATCCTTATGATGCGTTACTTACATTTTGAATATAATTAATCAATGAACATAAACCCAAATAGCCGGAGACTAAGTGTAGCAGTGTTCATGTTTAAGAAAGGAGAAATGAACCCTTCCTGCTATAGAAGTATCAGGGATTTAAATCTGGACTTATAAATGATCCGTCTCCTATATAAAATACATAGTATGAAGAAATAAATATTTATAATGGTATGAAAACTGCAGTTTACTTGACAATAATACTCCCCATTATAACATACACTGCAGAAAAACAGAAAAAGGCCTGACGGCCTGACACAAGTAGATTATAAAACAACAGGCAAACTTTACTAGCAATATTAGAAGGAAATTCAAAATAGATCCGTTTAACACACAATATAAAGACAAATCACTAATGGACGAAGCCATATTGAGAGACCTAAAAACGCTGGTGTTTGGTTAGAAGGTACTACGATTGAACTATTGGAGGCCATTTGTCCGTTAAGAAGAATGAATAAGAATAAGCAGTTATAGTTGATAATCAATGACACTCAAATTTTTTCTACAACACGAATATTTTTCCTCAACTGTCTTATTTAATATTGTTGGTTTTTAGTAATGCAATAATATAAGTATTGGGTACAACACTTACTATTTATTTCTAGAACAATTCTAATTATGCAAATATACAATTCAATTGCACTCACATACATGCAAAATTATGCCACTTATTTCATAATGCCATCCAAATAGGAATACCATTTAAATTAAATTTAAAATAATAGTTTCCAATCCAATTTTTTCCCATTCAACAATTTACATATTCTGTTTTTCTTTAATTTCAGCCCCGCATTGATCCCGTGCAGTTGTTGAAGTGCCTCTCGGTACTGTTAACCCCAGAAGGAGGAATGAAGGAAGAGGAGGTCAATCGTTTAGTAGGGTAAGTATATCTTTTAAATCTCATCTTTAAATTTTGACTAATTTTTAATTTGACTTTTAGCTTAATGACAAATTTTCCAAGAAGTTAGTCAGCAAATGTATATATATACTGATTTTAAAGAACACAAAAACGGAACTGCTAGATACGTTTATGGCTGAGGGCGGTTGGACCCTAATACAGACTTGGCTGCAAGATGCAGTCCACACGAGTAATCGGCATTTAGTTAAAGAAATCATTGGATTGCTACTGATTACACCAGTGGACGTCGAGAGATTGAAAACAAATATTCTTCCCAAATTAATAAAAAGTTTATCAAGAAGGGATGACTTAGAAGGTAACTATTAGATTTTTTAAATTATAATTATTGATCTCTGTAACTTTTTCATAAAAATAATTGTAATGTTTTTTTTAGATGTTGCTGAATTATCTACTGAATTAGTCAAACACTGGCTTGTCATTGTCAAAGGTTCAAGTTCAAATGCACAAGGGCAACCGCAACCTGAAAAAATGGATCTTTCTGAAGCTGACAGCACAAATACCAACCTTAAAGACGAAAGTTCAGATAGAATAAGTCCAAATACGTTTTACAAAAAAGATGGGCAAACCGGCAAAGCTAGTCCTAAAAAAGAAGGGTCAGACGACAGCAGTAAGGAAGAAGAAGATGTAGAAATGAAAGATGTATCAAAAGAAAAATCCAAAAGTAAAGAAGAAAAAGTTGACAAGGAAGACAAAGTTAAATCTAGTTCTAGAAGTTCAAGAAGTACGAGTAGTAAGGATAAGGATAAAGGTAGAGATAAAGATAGATATCGCGACAAAGATAAAAGTAAAAGTAGTAGTTCTTCGTCTAAAAGTAGTTCGAGTAAGAGTAAAAGTAGTAGTTCGTCAAGTCGAGATAAAGATAGAAAGGATAAAGACAGAGAAAGGGAAAAGGATAAAAGTAGACAGAGGGATAAAAGTAGAGATAAAGATAAGGATAAGAGAGATAAAGAGAAAGATAAACAAAGAAGCAATGGTGCGATAAAAAGTAATTCTTCTAGTAGTAAGGAGAAGAAAGAAGAGAAAAAGGATAAAGATAAGTCTGAACCCAATGTTTTCAATCTGGTAAAAACGCCTTCTATTGATAAACTTGGCAGGATTCCAAAAAATCAAATAGCGTCTCTGTCGATTCTAAACCTAAAGACACTATTGACACCAATGAAGTTAAAAAGAAGGCCTTCTCTGTTGGTATTAAAAAGGATGCAACTCCCGAAGAGAGACCAAAAACAGTGAAAGTATTCAATTCAAAGATGAGATCGACGGGCCTGGAAGAAGAAGTGAAGCCGGCGCCATCACGAACAGCAGTTAAGAAGCCCGCGGCTTCAGTTCCATTGCCACCGATCCCCCTGAAGAGAAGTTCTCCGCCGAGAGACACCAGAGAACCTAACATCCCCCCAGAGAAGAAGATCAAAATGGACAAAGTCGACATTCCCGATCGACCCGGTGCCATAAAACTTATTCCTCCTAAACCGAAACGTAAGTTTGTGAATTTACTACTAATACTTCTTTTATTTTTCAGGTGTAAATGGATGGCAGAAGAAAGTTTAACGGCCACCTACTTTACTAGGCAGGAGACTGTTTTTCTTCTTTGCTGTCCCTGAAAAAAGGAAATGGCAGTTTTTACATGTGTGCTTAATATCATCACTTAATGTATTTCTGTTACAGTTTGTATGTTAAAAAATACACACCCGACACAGGTAGAAGAACAAAGGTTTTGTTCTGATTGTAGTTTGTATTTTTCAACATCATAGTGCCGTTTATTTTGACTGTTCCTTATTGTGGAATGACAAAAATCGAGTGATAGTGAACGCGTCGGTGGATGGCTGTGATAACTACTTTTTTTCAATTTAAGTTGTAGGTCTACTTATGGTAAGTTTTAACCATGTAATTTTGACTGTATTTTTTTACTTTAGACTAATAAAATAATTTTCATAACATACTAAGGTATATGGGATAAACTAGTACCTTTCCTCTTAAAAAAGCACAAATGCATGAAACAAATATTCGATAATTAAATGCAACAAGTTAAAAACAGTTTGCAAATAAGATTAATTAAATCAAAACTTGAAAGGTGGCATATAACATTTGATTCTGTGTAATTATACAATGTTCATGTCAAAATAACTCTACCCTCAGTGGTTTTCGATTACTGTTCACGCTCACTCACGGTTACCTAACTTCAATTACTCGCGTGAGTTTACCGCTTACGAACACGTCATTCACACGTGGGTGACCAGCCACGTCATATAAAATGCATTAAAAATAACAATCAAAATTTAATGCAAATGTAAACACCAAAATCTACGTGTGTCAACGTTTTTCATTATATCAAAAGTTATTTTTCTTGTCCTTAGCACTGTGTTTATACAATTTCAAAAATAATACTGATAAAAAGCGACATAAAAAAATTTTAATAAAACTGCAACCCAAATGGTTGTTTTGGTGTTCAATAACAATAATTTGTCCATATTATCGGTAAGTAGCTTGGTATTTGGCTCTTCTTGCACAAGAAAATAACCTTTTTGAAGTAGCAGAGCTTTGTAGGTATATCTAAAATTCGGATAACTAATGTTTTTTAGTAGGGTTAGATCATTTCAATTTTTCCAAAACTCTAAAACATCACATTCGGTTGAATCTTCCGTCGTCGAGTATAATTTTATTTCAAAAAGGCAATTTGGCTTTAAAAAAACTTTCCACTTTTCAAAAATACTTCTTTTGTGCCTTTTCTATGTTATGTTCAACCAGATTGTAAGATTCTTTGTTAATGAAACACAACGCAGCTGTTTGACTATTTGTGTTTGTTTAATGTGTTTTGTAATTTACAGTGATTCCTATGATGCTTATTGTATATTTTGATATATATTCTGCTCAGCAACAATTTCAAGGAAGAAGTAAAAATATTACTTCGTTATTACTTGCAGAAAAGTTGTCCCTTATGATTTTTAAATGATCTCTTCCATTATTAAAATTTTTTTCATTTCTTCCAACAGTGAGATGTAGTGCTTACAGTTTCTTCCATCCCCCAAGTTTAAGTTTTAAATTCAATGTTTATCCCGTCATTTAGTGTTTCTGTTCCTGTTAATGTGTGTTTAATTTGTCCCTGATCGTCTTAATTTATAATAATTTTATATACTTTTTTATATACTTTTTACATAGTTGACTTTACAATAATTTATTAATTTTGATAATAGACTTGATAATTACAAGTCAAAATAATTGCACAACCACACAATCGGTACAGCTACTCTTATTCATTGTCATAAAACTGTCTCCTTCATTACATAAATACTCAATAAATAACACACATTCCAAAAAATATATCTCTGATATAAGTGTAAATAATTTAAATAATACAATAGTAAAGAACATCACTTTCATCTGACAAACAACCACAATTATACCTATCTCTAATTCATTGGATCAAATCTGTTCTCCTCAAGAACTTCCCGTTTATTGTCTAAACAACTGCAATAGCACATTAAAGTTCTCCAATCAACAATACATGATTTTTGCAACCATGACCTACCATCCATCAATTAATAGAGTATCGGCATCATTAGTTTAACTTTGTATCTAGACCTGAAGATGCTTTGCAAATTGTAGAAAGCGAAACCGGTCGTCAGATTGTTAAATTAAAATTGATTGTGAGTAAGTCTTATTATTATTTCTTTACCGATCTCTTCCATGTTTATTATCCTCCTATCGGTTCAACCGTAATTTTATTACTCATTTAGCTTCTCCGTTTATTACCAGGTGCATAGTTAACTAAAATTTAAAAAATGGTTATCCCATAGACTGGCGCCACTTAGAATTCGAAATCCCCATTTTATTGTCCAATGTCGGTCTTATGAATATCCTCTTCGTTTGATGAATCCTTAAATTCTTCATCAAAGATCATTGTTAAAGATGTGGATGTGTAGTGCGTGGAGGCAAAGAGTTCGTCAGTTCGCCGAAGTTTTCTTGGACTGTTTTGATCCTAAAAATGTTTGTTCGTAGATCGGGATTCTAAAATAGTTTCTGGCATAGCATTTACTGGTTCTTTAACGTTCATTTGTCTTGCTCATTAAGAAATTTCATAGTCTTAAAATATGGGTTAAAGAATAAAGCCACATAATATATGTTGTGTTGTTGAAATCGATTTTTTTTCAATGCTTCTTTTATTCTTTTTCCAAATTCGCGAGTCTATATTGTATTATACATATATTGAATATATATATTGAATATTGTCTATACATATTGTTTCTATTCATATTGTCATCGAAAAAATCAGCCGATAGGAGTCAAATAAATACTTTTGGCATATTCTTCTGTCCGATTAATCCGTGTTAAAAGAAACTAAGTTTCTAAAAAGTTATTAACTTACATTTGACATTTTACATTACTTAACATAATTTTTACCAAAGTCTGTACCAAAATTAATCAAATCTTCGTCAAATTTTATAAAACTCCACCCAAAAAGTTACGAAACTTGAAAATAGGTTATAAACAATATAAATAAAAATTACCTTAATTAATTCTTCAGTTAAATTCGGAAATTTTTGTTGTACAAAGTTTATACAAAGTTTATATCAGTTTCAAACTGCAGTTCGCTGTAGTGTCAGTTTTTTTCTTACTACATTTTACACAGAATCAAAATTTATAATTGCCATCTTTCATCAATTGGATACTATTTTGTTGAATCAAAGGTAAATCAAATATAAAAAACAACATGCATTTCTTAAAGACTTTCAAATTAAACATTAATATGGAACATAAACTTAAAAAAAAATTAATAACTTTTCCAAATTTTGCTATAAAAGTAGATTTATGCAAACGTTGGGGTATCCGCCCTATTAACTAATTAGTGATGGAGCAGATTTATAGGAACGAGACTTCACTTCCCAGAAGAACCAATGGGCTATTTTCAAGGTATGTGTCTAGGATTAAGTTGAGGGTACTTAAATCATTCTATAGTATGAGTTAAATTTGTAAATTCGATTCAAATAAAGTAATTTCAAGAGCTATGTAAAATAGATCTTTTAACATTGTATCAGCAAATGTTTCTCTAGTAAACTTCGAGTTTAGATAGACCTCGTCTTGAAGTAACATTAGTTTTATAGTAACAAGTTCGCACACAAAAAAATCAGTATCAAAAATAATTAGAACATAGAAATTTAAGCGTTTATAAGATATTTAAGAATTGGTATGGTAAACATAAAATACCAGAACTACGACAGTCCCATGGTGATCAACACGTTCTGATGTTAAGCGATCATCATTGAATCTATTGCAACCTAGATATTACAATAAATGGGAAAAGAAACCTCGATTATAATTTGATATTCTTTTTGAATCTACATAGCCAATTTTCAAAGATTCAGTACCATTTTTAGATATATTTATCAGTGACTTAATGTACTGTGTGTAAGAACACCAAATATTCATTTCTCAAACTTACATGGAATCGCCCTGCCATTTTCATAAAAATAAAGAAATAAATATTGATATACGAAAGAATCAGAGAGTTACTTTACAACAAAAACCGTGGAAACGATGAATTGGTTTCAAATGTGAGTTCAATTGTGTAAGAAAAAAAGTTTCGTCTTTATAATTTCGACCCATCTTCAGGTCACCTAATAAAAGGTAGTTGTGCTGGTGGATGAACCAAATTACTATTTGGTTATACCATCGAGCAATAAGACAAAAGAGGGAATGTAAAGGTAGTGGGGGTAAACATATTGATAGACAGGAAGCGCCATCTTGAGAGGCCACTTTAGACAAGGATAGACAGTCTCTTCCTTGTTAAGAAGTCAAATTTAGTTAGGTTATGTTATTGTTTGTCCCAACTGTCACATGAAATTTTATTTATATTGAAATCTTTTACCAATTGTGTCACTTTTTAGACTATTATAGTTAATATTTAATTAAAACTTTCTCGTCTGAAAAATATTTTATAGCTATTGTTAATAAGTGTTGGAAAATTTAAATTTAGCGCCTTTGCATTTCCGGATATGTCCGCCATCAGAGGCCACTTTTTTGGTCTCCTTTTCATAACGATTAGATTCCCTCTTTTATCTTTTTGCTCGATGGTTATACCACACAATTACTATATTAGTACCTATACAAATATACTAATTAGTGGTTTCGCAGGAAAATTTAAGGCAAACAAAATGCTAATAAAAAATAAACAGAAGATGGGCAAAATCTTAATTTTCGGATGAAATTATAATTAACTAATTTGAGAGGTGGAAGGCAACCTCAACTTCAAGTTACCCGATCTGTATCCGAAGGGAAACAATGCTTTTAATGGGATTATTATGGAACAGAGAACTGCTTTAGTTGAAATTCAGACTTATCTGATATGATCAACAGAAATTAAAGCTCGTCAACATTCCTCTGGCAATATTGTATAAGTAGCTTTACATGAATGGGAAAATCTGATCCAGGAACAAATTAAATCTCGTCGTATTCCTTCTTGTATTGAATATAGATGTAGT